AAATGCTACGTAGTACATCAATATAATGAGAGAAATTGAGGGTAGGAACAAAACTAAGTACCAATACAAAGAAATGGAATTTTTTTAGAAATTATGTTGTTCTAGACAATAGATGGCACTGTAACAAGTATTAGTCGTAATTGATCTCTTTTAGCATTATAACAGTTATTCCAACAAAAAGTCTTTTATTTAATAAAACACCTCATTTTATCTCAATTTGGTCCTTCGAGGCAGTAATGATATAAATCTTTATCTTTATTGATAAACATATTACATGCACAAAATTTACAGTGGTCTTTAGCACCTAAACTAGGATATAATACCTGTATTTCAGAGGCTAGTTTCCTTCCCTATTCTTAGTTCTATTACTATAATTTGTTTATCTATGTATTATAATTATAATATAATATTAACAAGTACTATTTAAAAGGTTAAAAATTTAAAAAAAGGGATTAAAAAAAAAACAAATTAATGTTGGCACTATTGCAAAAATGTGTGTGTGTGTGTGTGTGTGTGTGTGTGTGTGTGTGTGTGTGTGTGTGTGTGTGTTTGTGTGTGTGTGTGTGTGTCTGTATTAGCGTGTATTGTTTACATGTCCAAAGAAAGAAGGCTCTCCGTACCTTCATAATCAAAAAATTTTCAGCCAGTCTGTAATTTTGCTTTTCACTTCAAAGTTAATTAGTGATCTTATGTTATGACATCTGTTAAGTTTATTATATAGCCTAGGGGCTAAAAAGTCAAAATGTCTTCTAAACACAGCACTATTGGGTTTTGGAACAGGACATCGTTCTTTTCTCGTGTTGCTTCGTATTAGTTTAGGGACAGTGACGCGATGATATCTCCTTAAACTTTGAAAAATAAAAGTTTTGCGGACAGATAGCACTTTCGCTTTATCATACAAAGACACTGTTGATTGGCGAAATGGTAGACGAAAAATGCCTTTTAAAATAGCTCTTCGTGCGCGTTCAACCTTTATTAAATAGCTTTTAGCGGCACCGCCCCAGGCACAAATGCAATAGGTACAGAGACACTCTCCCATTGCTTTGTATATTTTGATAAGTAATTTGCAATCGGTTACTGTTCTTAAACTCTTAAATATATAAATGAGTTTTTTTAGTTTATTAGCTACTGCATCAGTATGGTCATCCCAAGTTAATTTATTGTCAATTATCACTCCTAGATATCTCATAAAATCAGTTTTGGTTAAATTACTACATTGACATGGTGTAGTAGAGTTTATAGTACGTTTGCAAGGATACGTGTGTAATTTTAAAGTTGTTAGTTGGAAGAGTAGCATTGGTCTTAACGAAACATAGGTATTTGGATTTAGAAACATTAAGTGATGGTAAATTATCGTCAGCAAACATAGTTAAATCGGCATTTTTGATATTGATTTTACATAATTCATTTACATAAATAAAAAAGAGCGAAGGACCTAAGGTAATCCCCTGTGGTACACCGTAAGAGCAAGAGGAAGTGTTGCTTGTCGCATACTTGTCAATCTTGACTCGTTGTCGCCTATCAGATAGGTAGTCCCTAAACCAGTTGTAGACAACACCTCTCATACCCATGTTTTCCAAACGGTTAAGCAATATAGGAATCGACACTGTATCAAATGCTTTTTGTAGTTCCAAGAAAACACCTACACATTTTTTACCACAGTTAAGATATTTTGATACCAGAGATGTTAATCTTAAAACGGCATCTTCAGTTTACCTACCCGAACGAAAGCCAAATTGATTATTATCAATAAAATTATTTCTTTCAAGGTATCGTATTAATCGTTTATTCACGAACTTTTCAAATATCTTTGACAGAGTACTAAGAAGTGAAATTGGCTTATAATTTGAAGGGAGCTGCCTATCACCAGATTTGTATATGGGACAAACTGCAACTTCCTTGAAAATGGCAGGAAAAACACCTTGCTCTAAACTTAAGTTACAAACATACGCTATTGGCTCAGAGAGCATTAATATATAATAATATACTTCTTTAGGAAATATGAAGTAACAGAATCAAATCCAGGGGCACTATTTGTTTTTAGACTTAGTATAATCCGTTTTATTTCTTCGATATCTGTGGGTTCGAGGGACAAAGACATAAGAGGTGCATTCGGGATTCTAGTCTTTTTTGCCAATTCATTTTCATTCGTGTTTAGTTTTTGAAGTGTAATGTTAGCCAAGTTATGCCCCACTGATGTAAAATAACTGTTAACTTTGTCAAGAGATTTAGTGGGAGAAATATCAACATCGAGTAATTCCTGCGGAGATTCCTTTTTCTTATGTATATTACACACGTCTTTTATTATTTTCCATGTTTCTTTATTATTTATAGCATTAACGTGTAGTTTTTCTTTATAATACTGCCTCTTAGTAAATTTTATTAATTTATTACACATATTTTATATAGTTAGCGAGAAGTTCTTCACTATCGGAATGTAATTTAACTTTTAGGTGCATCTTATTTCTTTTACGTATGGAAATAATAATACCGTGTGTAATCCATGGTTTAAGTGGTCTAATTTTTTTAGGTAGCTCTTTGATGACTGTGTTATTATCAACTACGGTTTGTAATTTTGTCAATAAATCTTCTGCAGCAATATTTACATCGATTATATTAAAAAAGTTTGGCCACGTTTCAGTTGATAAATAATTTGGGCGACTAAATCTAGTCCAGTTTAACCCCCAGAAGACACAAGTTTGCGCGTTAACCGCTAAAAAGAACCCCTTTGTCGTATCCCCTCAGTTTCAAGGCACTCCCCTTGTTGCCTCAGCCAGTATCGGAATCCTCGGCGTCGACATATCGAGTGACGTGCAGTTTCGTGGTCACTTGGAAGGGAAGGCCAAATTGGCCTCTAAAAAAGCTTGGCGTGCTCAGCAGAGCGGGACAGTATTTCATGCCGGCACACCGCCTGCAACTTTACAAGGCGCAGGTTCGGCCGCACATGGAATACTGTTCCCATCTCTGGGCTGGGGCTCCCCAGTACCAGCTCCTTCCACTTGACCACATCCAGCGCAGAGCGGCTCGAATCGTCGACGACCGAGTGCTTTCCGATCGGCTCGATTCTCTGGCACTGCGAAGAGATGTTGCATCCCTTTGCATTTTCTTTCGCATATACCATGGAGAGTGCTCTGAGGAATTGTTCGGATTAATCCCAGCCGCCAAATTTCGTGAACGCACTACGCGGCAAACGTCCCGATACCATCCACACCATCTAGATGCTTGGCGGTCCACCACTGTACGTTTCAAAAGGAGTTTTCTTCCGCGTACAACCTCTCTGTGGAATAATTTACCACCAGCGATTTTTCCGGACCGATACGACTTGGGGACCTTCAAGAAAAGAGCTTACTCCTTTCTAAAGGGCCGGCAACGCGTCTGCAATTCCCCTGGTGTTGCAGTTGATCATGGGCGGCGGTAGTCACTTAACATCAGGTGAGCCACATGCTCGTTTGCCCCCCTCTTCTATAAAAAAAAAAAAATTATTTATAGCATCATAGTCGGTATATTTTAATTTTAAAAGAGTATTTCGAGCGGTTTTCTGAGACTTTACGTATAGCCTAATTGTATCATGGTCTGTTAACAGGTCAAACACAAAAGTACCCCAAGTATTAACACTTTTATTCATAAAATGAGCGATAAAAGTATTTAGTCTAGTGGGAAGATTGATACCCTGCTTGAGACCATACATTGCAATCAGGTTAAGGTAGTTTTGCATGTGCGTAGAACTGTTGGATAGTATATCTAAATTTATGTCACCTGTCAAAATAATATGAGGAGTATTATTATTCTTAAGAACGTTTTCTAAAGAAAGTAGATAATAAATTGGATTACGATAACTGGGTAGTCTATAAGAACAAATAATTGAATATTCCGAATCTATATTTATAATCAAGCAATTTCCTTCTTGAAAGGGTGGTTCAGTTACTGATGAATTTAAAGAAGTCATACTTCTTGTATGTAAGCCACAACGCCATCATTTTTGTTTAAATAATTAACAGTTTGGTACATCTTGTAATCGGTGATATTAGGTGGTGTGAAATTATTATTAGTCCAACATTCGGTTAAAACTAAGACATTTTCTGAATACCAAGACTTGCAACAAACGTTAGAAGTAAATCAAAATTTCGATTTATACTGCGAATGTTGACGGACAGTACCACCAACAATCCATCTGCACCAACAAATAATTCTGAACACTTTGTTGGATCATTTACGAATGTGGAATTAACATTGTGACACTCATCTATATCCGTTGCTATAATATTGTTAATATTATCTATATTAAGATCGATATGTGTAAAATCAGTGCATTTTTATAACTCAGTATATTAAGTTTGATTATATTTTTGATAGTGGTAAGTTTTATAAACCACGTATTAATGTATGTATTAAGATTATGATAATATTTAGAATTGTGAATTGTGTGAAAGTGATATAACATGTTGTTTATGTTTTTAAGACGTGCGTTTTTTGAAACGCGTATGTGATTTCATTTGTATAAAGAGTATGCAAGAGTATAATAAAAATATGTGTTCTGTGTATTGTAATGTGTATTCGTGTTTATAACTAAGTGCGCAACATTTAAATGGGAATACAATAAGAAAAAACTTAATAATTACATTAAAACTAAAGAGATAAGAAAAATGAATAACATTGATGATGAACAACATTAACAAACATAAAATAAAAAACTTTCGGCATACAATATGATCAGTGAAATACTAGTCACTTTTCTCGAATTTTTTCCAAATCAGATTCACTTTCGATGCGAAGCAAGGGTGTTCCTTCTTTTTTTTTCGAAGGTAGACTTTATCATATTATATTGATCATTATTTTTCATTTTGATGATTTGATTGACTAATTTCCAACACATCTTGGTAAATGCTATTGGAATACCGATTTCTACACATTTTCTAGCGTGACATGATAATCAGGAGGTTGTGACGGTAACATATTGCAAATGATTTGCGCGTTCCAAACCTCGTGCACTGCAGCTGTACCTGGCAGCGAGCTGCTGCATTCGACGCTCGTGCTGCGCGCAGTCCCGCTGCAGCTGCTGCAGGCGCTCGCGTAACTGCGAGTTCTCCGCCTCCGCAGCTGCGGCGCGCCTCCGTAGCACACAACACTCTGCGCTGCGCTCCGACTCCAACCTGCAAACCATGGTTACGATTTTAGTGGTACTCACTATTTTTAACCACCTGCCCCCAAGTTAATTAAATGCTTTTTTTATATAGCTGAGCAAACGAGCATGTGGCGCACCTTGTGGTAAGTAACTACTATCGCCCATGAACAACTACAACACCAGGAGAATTGCAAGTGCGTTCCGGTCTTTTAGAAAGGAGTAAGCTTTTTTTCTTGAAGGTCCCTAAGACTTATTGGTCGAAAAATCGCCGGTGGTTAACGATTCCACAAAGAGGTCGTAGGAAAAAGGAAACTTAGTAAAACGCATAATAGTGGAGAGCCAAGCATCCAGATGGTGTGGATGGTATCGTGAGTTTCGCCCGGAGTTAATCCAACAATTCCCAAGAGCACTCTCCGTGACAAATATGATAAAAAATGCAAACAGGTGCAACATCTTGTCGCAGCGATAATGAATCAAGCCCATCAGAAAGAATTCGCTCTGCGCTGGATTGCGTTCAAGTGCAAGGACCTGGCTCTGGGGTGTCCTGGCCTAAAGACGAGAGCAGTGTTCATGTGAAGCCGAATTTACGCCTTGTAAAGTTGCAAGTTATGTTCTATCCGGTTCTACCCAGCACGCGCATCTTTTTAGAGACCAATTTAGCCTTCCCTTCTAAGTGACGACTAAACTGCACGTCATTCGATTCTGATGCTGGCTGAGGCAACAAGGAGAGTGCCCTAAAATTGAAGAGATTCTTTTCAGCGGTGAACTCACAAACCTGTGTCTTCGGAGTTTTAAACTGGACTAGATTTTGTCGTCCCCAATCCGAAGCTCTATTTAATAACGACTAAACTTCAGAGACAATTTGTTTCGTCTTTGTGCTATCCGATCGAAGGCCTTCGCTGTGTCCAATATAAAGGCCAAAGGGCCTCTTCCTTTAGGCTCTACTGCCTCCGCGCATCTATGAGTCAGGTAGTCCGGACGACGACGACGACAGTAGTCTAGACAACGGCGGAAACCGTACTGGCAGTCACTAATCAACTGATGGTCTTCAAGGTACCTCAGGAGCTGGCAGCTTAAAATGATTTTGGACATAAAGGAGGGGATGGCGAGAGGCCTGTAGTTGGACGGGTCTAAGCGGTCGCCTTTTTTAGGAATCGGGTGGACAAAAGATGCTAAAGCTAATTCTTACATGAATTTGGGACTATACGTAGGGAGTAGGAGTACCAGGAAAACGCGTTAGAACTGGTGCCAACTCGGGAGCACACGTCTTCAGCTCAATGAGAGGGACTCCATCAGACCCAGTCGAGTTGTTGGGTCCAGGTAGAGGAGTGTTTTGTGCACTGAAGGCTATGTAAGCCTGGCATGGAGCACTTACATTGCGGTATGGTCGGCTGGTGTGTTCCCTCGTCATCAAATACCGAGCTGGACGCAAAAAGAGAGCATCCATTGCAGCATGGGTAACTGAGTCGTGCTCCCTGTGCAGAGATGGCTGAGAGAAGTTCTACTGAAGTACCACATCACCGACAGAATCAGCAAAAACGTAGGGATCGTCCGGCGAGAAATAAACCTGCCCACAAGGGTAGGATGCATTCTCGGCTCGACCGGGGAAGGACCACGCTCTCATAGAATACCAGCGTCAAATAGTAGCTTAATGCTGCTGTGTTTCGTATGGTGAGTATAGAGTACCGGAGATCCTTTTTACTGGAAACAAGGCATTCCATCTTAGCCTTAACGGGTGACAACGCAACTGCATTTTGATTCGTAATCGAGGAAAGATGTAGATGTCTATGGGCCACAGCAACCACTTACCATCAGGTGGACTGTGTGCTCGTTTGTCACCCTATCCTATAAAAAAATCTGGTAATATTAAATAGATGTCTGCTGCCATAGCTGCCACATTGGCAGACGGGTTGGCAATCGCGTTTTGTTTATTTTAATGAGTTATTTACAGTAATAAGCCGCTGCCCATCTATTGTTTCAGTTTTTCTCTGTCACCTCTTATGACTTTAACGGGATGATATGGGCTAGTGGAATTTCTTGCGCCGTAAGTACACCTCTAGACTAAAGGTATCATGTATTTATATGGTAGTTTTATTACAGCTAACAAAGGAATGGATTAGCTTATTTGGTGAGTACCACACTTTTACAGAATACCAAAGTAATATGAATGAATAGTTCTTTCTTGTATAATTTGATTGCATGACGACGACCAAATATTTGCAAATGTAAGACCTTTATCTGTACTACCATGTTTTGCGTAAATAAAGATTTATGATATGATTTAGTTCCTTCCTATTATGATAATGTGTAAACATTTCTGTATAATTAATTTAGCTGTTATATGGTTTTTATTACTAAGATCACAATACTATACAACCATATAAAGACTAGTTGTCTCCCGCGACTTCGTGCGCGTGGAATTCATTACGTTTAGATTTTATTGGTTTTGATGTTTTTTTTTTTGTGCAGAACCCTAATTAATTTTTCTGAAATAAAAGTATCACACGATACATCGTATAACATCAGCTATCTGCCTGTGAAAGTCCCGTCAATATCGGTCTCATTTCGGAGATAAGCTGGAACAAACAGACAGTCAAAAAATTGTTTTTTTTTTTCTGTTAATATCCATATATACTTTCTTATAAGTTTAGTATAAATCTGTAATTTTGATATTACAAACAGAAACTTCGATTATCTATTTGTAAAGATATGTGTTTTGTTTCTTTGCTGCTCACTTGGCGATCCTATCCTCGTAGAACATCCGCTGGCTGTCGAGCTGCTGCGTCAGCATGTAGGTGAACTCGAGCTGCGCTGCGTCCAGCTTTTCTGCGCCGCAGGCCGCGTCATCGGCCGCCAGCCCACCCTCTGCCGCCACCAGCTTGCCGTCCGTCTTGTTCTGCACCAGCCGATGCACGAAGTTGTCGCCTTCCCGGAACAATATAAAGAAAAGTAAAGACGCAACACTCCTGTACAGTATAACGTAAGTATATTTTTGCTCACATCCGGTCATAGTCGTTAGATGATTATTTGTGAGACCAATAAAAGTTTAAAACTAAGATATCCGGCTCGAAGGATCAAATGATCGGGTCCTGTATATAGATATAATATGTTGTTTTGAATGTAGTTTGGGTAGTGTACTTATTCAAACACCACCCTTATTTTCTTTGTTTGTTTGATATTAACTCAATAACTTTAACTTATACAATTATAGTTAGTTAAAACTAACTTTTATTTTTTTTTACTTGTTATAAGCTAGTCCTTACATCTCTATTCATGTTAATAAAGGCACAGGCTTATATAATATATAAATAATAAAGTAGTCTGGGCACCGACCTGCGTAATCCCAAACTCGGTTGGAGCCCAACTGAAGCGCATACGTGTGGTTTGATGCCAGGAAATGCTTCGCCGCATGCCCTCCTTCGTATCTGTGTATAGTTGCGTATGTTTATCATTATTGTTAGAGCCGTGTTAGAGCCACGCCGAAGCTATATGATGGTTGTAGCACAAATGGGTCCGTTTTGTTTGGTGAACTTTAGGCTCTCTTATAATAAAAAACGAGGCATTCCATTCTAGTCTTCAGAGGTGACATCCTATGCACATTTGGGTTCGTAAACGAAGATATATGTAGATGTAAAAGAGCCAAAGTATCCACTTATCATCAGGTGAACTGTATGTCCAATTTTTTACCCTTATTCTATAAAAAAAAGTTCTTCAGGCGCAACAAACTAACTTTATCTCCTAGCGCCAATTTCACCTCCACGTTATGCAGGTGAAATTGGCGTACATACTAAAACTGACATAAACAGGCGAATGCGAGCGTAATGGTTTTACGCTCACCCGACAGTGGTATGTAGCCTGGTTAGTATGTATATGTTTCCAGAAATGTGACATTTGAAATATTCTTGAAAATGAGTATCCAGTAGTAATTTGAAAGAAAAAAGAAAAAGATAAAGTTGGTCCATTTAAAGGCATATTTTTAAATGACACTGACCTCTTATAAAGCTGAAAGCGTTTTTAATCTCGTTTAACATATTTTACAGAGCTTATAAGTTTTATAAATAAATTGATTGTGTATACGAACTTATTTAAATTGAAAATTTAGGTACTTTATGCATAAACCTCATAACTCTTACACTTAGAACAAAATTGCTTTAAGCAATGTTATATCACTTAGTTGTGAATTAAAATGGATGTCACCCAGGGATTTATTCCTGGTCCATTTCTGTTCTTTTTATTTATTATCAAAGTTATATTATCAACACTTTGTGCGTATGTACACAACAAAATAAGGTTGCTTTATAGAGAATTTAATTGTTCCCGAATGAAACCGAGAAATAAGAATAACTAATGTATGTATAATTTAATAAGTAATAAAAAGGTGCAAATGTAATTTAATGTAATGCAAACGCAAAATTCTAATCATAGTACGTTAAAAAATTGTATAGCGTGTCAAATTTTGAAGTATTTAATAAGTTATTATAATTAAAAAAAAGTGTCAATTACTTTATTCCCTGGGTAGTCATCAATTTGTCCACTCCTTGGTGCCCGCTTAACGTTCAATTTTAGGACACGGTATATGATTTTGAATTTGATATACCACACACAGGCAAATCATGACTTTATCCCAAACAAAAGTTGTTTTGTATCAAATGATATAACTAATTATAGCATAAAATGCGAGCTTAAATTACAATAAAGTCCGATGAAATAAAAGTTCGGATTCTATTTTAAAATAATATAATTATAAATTATGTAGTAACATGTGTTGCCTGACATGAAATATTTGTGGGTACGAGGGCGGCACTGAAAATTTCGGGAATCAAGGAAGTGACACAACATTACTATTTAAAAATGTATTTATTGCTTTTCGAAGTATTCTCCGCGAAATTTGACACATTTTTCCATACGATGGAACCAATCATTGAAGCAACCATTCCATTCGGAAGTTGGGATCTCCAAAATAGCCGTTTTGTAGGCGTCCACAGCTTCTTCAGGTTATGAAAATCTCTGTCCACGCAATTTATTCTTTATTTAAGGGAAAGTATAGAAATCATTAGGGCTTAGGTCGGGGCTGTACGGCGGATGGTCTAATAATTCTATGTTTTCTTGCTCTAAAAACTCTTTTGTTCTGTGTGCGGTGTGAGAACTCGCATTGTCGTGATGGAGGATGATGCAGTTCTCTTTACGGAGTTCAGAAACGACCTGTGGCAAACAAATGCTAGCATACCATTCTGCATTAACCGTTCTTTGTCCCTCAAGTGAATCGTCGTAACATGGCCAGTTTTGGAGACAAACGTGGCCACCATTTTTTTTGCATCACTCCGTGAACGAGCAACTTTTGTTGGCTTTAACTCATTTTCGAACACCCAAACTCGTGACTGGTTTTTTGTTTCGGGTTCGTACGCGTATATCCAGAATTCGTCACCTGACACGATGTTGTATACAGCATTTGAGGATCCTGCGTGGAATCTTTCGAGAGTTCTGACTCACCAAGTAACGCGAGCCGCTTTTTGCTCTTCACAGAGCGAATGCGGTATCCATCGGGAAAACAACTTTTTTACACCTAATTGTTCATGCAAGATTATTTGTATTTGAATCATGCCAATGTCTAAAGTTGTCTGAATTTCGCGGTATGTCACATGTCGATCTTACTCAATCGGCTTACGCACAGCATCAACGTTTTCTTGGATGACTGCCGTTTTTGGACGACCTTGACGGGGATCATCACTGAGCTTGACACGTCCACGTTGAAATTCAGCAAACCAGCGATAAATTGTGGTTTTGGATGGGGCTTCATCACTAAATGCAGAAATCATCCAGTCAACACACTGTTTTTGTGTTAAACCACTTCGAAAGTCATAATAAATCATCGCTCTTGAATTTTCTCGAGTCAATTCCATTTTCTCAACGACTAAACAAGTTTGACAAGACCGAGAATCTTTTTTTTAAATAAATAAATGGTATTCGATTTTTAAAACCAAGGAGTTTTTAATTAAAAAAGATTTTAATATGACAGGAACAATATCCCATCCCTACTTAGTCAGCCTAATACTGATAATGATAGCTACAAAGAAAATGTCACTAAATTAGGGTAGGAACATGCACTTACCTGCCACAGCCGACGTGTCCACAGATGAGGCAAATCCAGAGCGCGCCGCCCGTCATGCCATCCGGCAGACCCTCCGCGAGCCCGTCACGCGACACGTCCTCTGTGTCCCTCGCAGGCTCGCCGTCAGAGGTAAACTCCCCGCCCGACTGGGAATTTCCCATGTGACATTCTTCACAGCGGGCCTCGCCTCGAGGCTCGGGCGTCTGTGCGCAGCGGCACACGGGACAGCGCGCGTCGCGCCAGCGTACCAGGCATTCCGCGTGGAACGCGTGCGCGCACTGCACGCTCAGCACGCCCGCCACGCTCTCGTCCATACGCTCTGCACACACAACGCTACGCTACACACCGGCACACCAGGCATTCCGCGTGGAACGCGTGCACGCACTACACGCTCAAACGCCCGCCATGCTCTCGTCCATACGCTCTGCACACACAACGCTCCGCTACACACCGGCACACCGGACTCTCTGGTTTGATTAATAATATTATGTAAGCAAATTACCAAAAGTAAACAATTGATAATGCTAGTTACATATGCCTACCAAGACATTGCAAGCAATCAGGGAGTCACCTACCATACAGCACCGCCTGCTAAGCAAATAACAGCACGTCTTCAAAGAGGTGACTCAATTTACTTACGTTTTTTTTTATAGGATAGGGTGACAAACGAGCACACAGTCCAACTGATGGTAAGTGGTTGCTGTTGCCCATAGAAGTTTACATCTGTCCTCGATTACGAAACAAAATGCAGATGCGTTGTCACCCGTTAGGACTAAGATGGAATGCCTCATTTCCAGTAAAAATAGTCTCCGGTTCTCTACACTCACCATACGAAACACAGAAGCATTCAGCGGTTATTTTACGCTGGTATTCTAGATTACTTAAGAATTTTCAACAAAGTATAATATCCAAGGCTTAATATTTGAAATTGCCAGTATTAGTTCAGTTAGTTGTAAGTTAGGTAGTCTAGTATTCCTGCGTACTCACATTGTCACAGTAGTTAAGTTAACTTGTAAGTTAGAAAATAAAAGTTATATTGTGAAAAGTCTTTGTCTCCTTCCATTTCAACCATCCCAAAGCTGCCGCAAACGTATGTGGCTTTAACATTAAAATATATTAATAAACAAACCCAAGCAAACAGGGCATGTGGGCAACTCAGTATGTGATGGTGGGGGTGTCCCATCTCGAGCCCACTCAACACGCGACACCCACGCCATATGACACAATGCATTGGGCTCCAAGCTGCTGTATGGTACTCCATCAAACGCCGAGTGGAACTCGCGTGCCGCCGCTGATGAGCGAAATCTGAAATTTTTATATTTTAAAAAAAAATAAAGGTTTATTTTAGTAACAGACATTTTCCGTTATATCGGAGTGAATTGACTTCATTAACATTTAGATAATATTAAAAAATAAATGTAAAATTAAAAAAAAGGTATACTTACGTCAGCAATGCCATATAGTGGTCAGGTGAACCATCCCTAAGAACTCTCACATGTGCAATATCTTGCTGACAAGCAGCAGCAAAGGCTAAGAGGTCTGGTGCACCTAGAGCTCCTGGTACTGAAAGAAGACAAAGTGTCTTCGCTTCTTCAGCCTCCTTTAATTCACTGTGAATAGCGATAGCACCTTTAATAACATATTATAATAGTTACTTTACTTAAATACTACCAATGATATCAATATTACTATCATCATTATCATCATTACAGCCCTTCACAAGTCCACTGCTGAACATAGGCCTTCCCCAAGTTATGCCACAAAACACGGTCCTGAGCCACCTGCATCCATCTACTTCCTGCATGTCTTATCAGGTCGTCACTGCATCTAGTGAGGGGTCGCCTTACACTTCGCCTACCGGTACGGGGCTGCCACTCGAGAACCTTTTTTCCCCAACGGCTGTCGGTTCTTCGAGCTATATGGCCGGCCCATTGCCACTTCAGCTAACTAATCCGTTGGGCTATGTCGGTCTCTCTGGTTCTACTGCGGATATCCTCATTTCCAAGTCTATCACGCAGCGAAACTCCGAACATAGCCCTTTCCATAGCTCGCTGAGCGACTTTGAGCGTCCTCATACGGCCAGCAGTGATAAACCACGTCTCGGTTCCGTAGGTCATCACTGGCAACACGCACTGGTTGTACAACTTAGTTTTCAGGTTTAGAGGTATACCTGACGAGAAGATGCGTCGTAATTTCCCGAACGCTGCCCAGTCGAGTTGAATCCGTCGATTGACCTCTCGGTCGAAGTTGGACTTACCTAGTCGGACTATTTGCCCGAGGTAAACGTACTCGTCAACAACTTCGAGCTTAGTGCTCCCAACAACTACCGGCATAGTTGTGACATGGACATTAAACATGATCTTTGTTTTGTCCACGTTTATCTTAAGACCTATCCGTTGGGAGGCACTATTGAGGTCATTGAGCATATTAAGCACTATCCACTGTCCTCCAGCGATTCTGCCATAAGGACCATATCGTCGACAAATCGAAGGTGAGTGATGTACTCGCCACTGATGTTAATACCGTATCCTTTCCAGTCCAGTAGCTTGAAAACGTCTTCCAATGCAGCGGTAAAGAGTTTCGGGGAAATAACGTCACCCTGTCTTACACCTTTCTGCAGTTAGATAGATTTAGGTTCTGTACTAGGATAGCCATCGTAGCCCTACTGTACAAACACTTCAGCACTTCGATATACCGACAGTCAACTTGGCACCGCTGTAGAGACAGTAGCCACCGCTACCGCCCAAATTTCGACGGAATCAAAGGCTTTCTCATAGTCCACATACGCCAGGCAAAGTGGCAGATTGTACTCTTCGGACTTCTGTACAATTTGCCGAAGGGTATGTATGTGGTCTATGGTACTAAAGCCTTTTCGGAAACCAGCTTGTTCGGGAGGCTGGAAGTCGTCGAGTCTGCGTGCGAGACGATTCGTAATGACTCTCGAAAACAGCACGTAGACGCGGCTCAGAAGGGAAATCGGTCTGTAGTTCTTCAAGAGGGCATTGTCACCTTTCTTGAAGAACAAGACCACCGCACTTCCGCTCCACGCCTGCGGAGTAGTACCACCATGGGGGACGGGATTGAAGAGCTTCTGAAGAACTTCAAGTACCGGTGTTCCACCCGCTTTCAGAAGGTCCGCTGTAATTCCATCCTCCCCTTGCGCCCTCCTCTCTGCCAAGGAGGGTCGCGTCCGTCTACGGCTTAAAGATCTCTCGTCAGATCGGTAAGCCATACCCAAAAGGTGGAGTTTAGTGGGTAAAAGGCTCCACATAACCACGCAGCTGGCTGCGTGGTACGCTATGAGCATTCTCCACCTCCCTCCCCCCAGGGCACCCTCCGCAACGGGGGAGCCGTTGCCGGAGGGTTGCCCTTAATTGCTTCGGGCGCAAAAAGAAACCTGGAGCCCTGCCGTTTTTAAGGTGCTGGAGAACCATTCTAAACTCGCTCAGACTGACGTTCGGGATATCATCGGAATAGTGTCGGATAAGACTTGTTCTTGGATCGTTACTCACACTTGCGTGTGGCTCCAACGATTATGTGTACAGCTGCCCATAGAACCTCTCAATCTCACTCAAAATCTCAGGTGTCCCGGAAACGATGCTGCCACACTCAGTCTTCAGCTTTGAGAGTTGGCTCTTTCCTGCAGACAGATCTCTGGCAAAGACTTTGGAGCCCTGGTTCCGCTCGATCGCTTCTTTAATACGAGCAGTATTAAAGTTGCGTAAGTCTCGCCGCATGCATTTGGAGATCTGTCTGTTTGTGTTCTTCTGCGGCGGGTCTTGCAGAACTTAGCTCCAGCCGCATGGACAGTTTCCACGAGCTTGTCATTTATATCGTCCACTGCATTGCAATCTTCTAGGCACTGAAAGCGGTTACGTAACTCGAGCTGAAAGGTTTCGGGATTTTGGATTAGAGCACGAGGGGGGACGGAGCGTTGACTTCATTAGACGAGACCTCTCCAACTTAACGTTTAGGTTCGGTTTGCCTCTAAACATTCGATGATCGCTGCCAGTTTTCACCCTTGCGATCACTGAGACATTACTGAACAAAAAGTCAATCTCAATTTTGTCGAACCGTCGGGGCTCGACCAGGTCCACTTTCTTTGGGGCCGCTTCTGGAAGAAAGAGTTCATCATAAAAAGTCCCTCCTTCTCCATGAAGTCGGCCAGCTGCTGGCCCCTTGGGTTCCGTTTCCCTATCCCAAATTTCCCTACCCTCAGCTCACCGTTCTTTCTTGTGCCCAGTTTGCGTTGAAGTCTCCCATTAACACCGTATAGTGAGGTTTGGAGGAATGCATGGCTCTAGAAATATCCTCATACATTTCCTCCACCTTTTCATCGGGATGTTCCGACGTTGGCGCGTAAACCTATATACCTTCAACGAATACCGTTTGATGATTCTAAGGTACGCAACCTTTTTTTACGTGGTAGAGCCATGCTGCAGCTATATTAATTGTATAGATGTAGCACGAATGGGTCGGCTCGACCGGGGAAGGACCACGCTCTCACAGAATACCAGCGTCAAATAGCAGCTTAATGCTGCTGTGTTTCGTATGGTGAGTGTTGAGAACCGGAAACCCCTTTTACTGGAAAAGAGGCATTCTATCTTAGTCCTCAAGGCTGACAACGCATCTTCATTTTGATTCGCAAACGAGGATGGATGGAGATGTCTATGGGCCACAGCAACCACTTACCATCAGGTGGACTGTGTGCTCGCTTGTCACCCTTTTCCTATAAAAAAAACCCTTGTCGATACACTCACAATCTTTAAAACGTTGTTAACGAGAGATTTGTGGACGATAAATCCAACACCTTCTTCGGATAGATGGTCGTCCTCCCGGTGACAGAACAAGTTGTCGGAATCGAGAATCACCGTGTCACACTCTCTTCGGACCTCAGATAATCCTATAATATTCCAGCGCAACTTGTCTATCTCTTCTTCCAGCTCCAGGATCTTCTCGTCAGTCCTCAGGATGCGTGCGTTAAATGTTGCCAGGTCGAGTCGTCGTAGGTGGCAACCGAACCTCCACCGGGGATTCTTAGCACCCCCTGCCCCGCCGTTACCATGGTCGCCACCGTAGCCAGGAATAGAGGGGCCGCCGGGGACTAGGGGCCGTCTTTTTGTGTAATTCTTAATGGGTATATTGCCATAGTTGTCACGCTTGGCGAGCGGGTTGGCAACCGCAGTTTTTTTGTTGTACAGTTGCTGTTATCAGGAAGATGCTGCTGCCCATCTCCTGCCTGTCTCCCTCTGTCGCCTTTTACGACACCCACGGGAAGATATGGGGTAGTGGATATTCTTAACCGCCACTACACGGCTATAAATCTGATTAGTAAATTTATATTGTATGCAACTGAAAAGCAATATTAACATCAAAGCTTTAAATTAGGCAACTTGATCAAAATTGATATACATAAATCTTTTAGGGACTGACAATCAACACTTATAGAGGTTACGCTATTAAGTATTTATCTAGTTTTTAGAGATAGTTCGTTTAAGACTCTTTAGTAGTTAGTTACAATCCTATCAAAATTTTTATCCAAGGCACAACTTAGAAATTGGCCGATACAGAGTAATTTGATCTTTTTGTGCGTTTTTTGGTATTGGAGTAATGAGAGCCCATTCCCACACACTAGGAAAGATTCCAGTTTTCACTTAGTTGAAAAATATTAGATATCGATTTTAACAACTCTTTAGAAAAACATGATATAATCACTGGGTGTACTCCATCTGGTCCAGCACCCTTATTAACATTGACATTCTCTACATTTTAATAATGATTTATATATTGAGTAACGAAAACAGATTGAAAGTAATGGTTTCATGCAAATAGTCTATTAACTTTGGAAGAAAAATGGGACACACTAGATGTTTGCTTCCTATTTGATATTGTTCGGGACAGAGTAGACTGCTCAGATCTGTTGCATAAAGTAGCATTCTGCGCTCCTAGGCGTCGAACACGTCACACTCCGCTATTAAATGTGCCCCAACGTCGCACTAACTATGGATCTAATACTGTCGTGGTTAGGTTACCCCGAACATACAATGCAAAGTTTAACCAGGTTGACTTATTTCGCTCAAGTAAATTAACTTTTAAAAAGAAGGTGACAGATATCATCAAAAACTCTTGTAAATTTTAAGCGCTATAAACAAAAGTTGTACTATAAACTTTTCTTTCCTTTTTGCCTTTATCTCTGTGTATGTCTATATTGGGTGGTACTTATATATTACTTTCGGAAACATGTACAATGTATTTCTCTACTTGATTTGTTTTGTGCCGTGTATAGTTTAGAGTATTTACTCAATTATCTATGATATTGATAGGTTTAAGCAGATGGCATCCTTGAATTTCTTGATATATTTATAGTTAACTTGAGCACTAACAAAGTTTGATTGTTGCAGTGCCATTTGTTAATTTAAGGAAAACCTGTTATTGGCATTACTACATTACACATAGTTATAAGATATATAATTTGTAAAGCTGTTGGTTTTCTTAATAAAAAAATAAGTTAAAAGCATCGCATGTTTTTACCGTCAGATGGGATCTCACCTACCTAAGCCATTTTTTGGGAGATGTTACCAGTAATTCTCTTCGATTTGATATACAACCAAGAGAATTTTAAAAATGTATCAATGAAATGTTTCATACATAATATAGAGTCTAAAGATAAAACAGACAGATGATCTCATTTATACCAATATCCTGATATGCAGCAAAGTCTTAAGCTGTAGAACCACAAATTCAGTTCCTTAAAGTAAACACGGAGAGTGTTATGAAGTAATAAGTCTGTTGTGAGGCTTGATATCTATGTAGTTATAACAAGTTATTATATGGGATTATAATTTGAAGCCGAGCTGGGAAAAAAAACTGGTCTTTTGTATATATATATATATATAAGTCTGTTGTGATGCTTGATATCTATGTAGTTATAACAAGTTATTATATGGGATTATAATTTGAAGCCGAGCTGGGAAAAACTTAGAAAAACTGGTCTTGTGTGAAAAGCTCAAATGTTTACTGTGAAATAACCAATATATACATATATGATGTATAAACAAAAAATATGTGTAAAGCTCTAACAATTTGGATAAATTTCTTATCTAGATAATGTTTTACTTCCTAGGTTTTTGGTACTGAAAAAAAATAATTATTGCTAAAACACAGCTCAGGTTGCCTACATTCTATTGTCTTTGTCAATCCAAGGTCCTACATATCAAACATAGCATATTATGAAACACAATGACACTGCAGTTTGGTGAACATAACATTATTGACCATTTGAAGCAACTGGCTCTATCTAGTGTGAATGACTTGGATAGGAAGCAATAAAAACAAGAGGTAACATTAAAAAATGTCTACAACCAACTTTAATGTAAATAAAATGAGAACATCAATGTATTAAAAATCAATTAACCTCTCAATCCCCTAGCGGTCTCATGAGACCGTGGCCATATTCCGTCAAATCCCTAGCGGTCGCATGAGGTCACACCCACCCACAGCACTTTAACCCATAAAAACTTATATATAGAGACTACTTTTCTATGAAGAAGTTTGGCATTATATAATCATTATGAAATTTTCTATCCTCTAGTGCAATAAAGAAACTGTTATCCTAAGGAATTTATAATCTATGTTTATTTCATACGCCATTTTCTCGTAAATGTTATTGTGTTGAATTTTCTAGTGTTTTAGTATAGTTTGATTAAAAAATTGTAATGAAAGATTTTGTGTGACTATAATTTATCTTTTAACGTAAATAATTTCAAGTAATATATATTGATATAATTGTGATTTTCACGCTGCCAACATTCGCTTGGTATGTTTTTTTTTTGTTATCAAAATACAATTAAATCTTTTTGTAATGAAGTAAAACCTAACTTTTGTTTAGACCACAGGATAGAGAATTTTGTATAGATTTTATAATGCCAAACTTTTTCATAGAAAAGTAGTCTCTAAATATAAGTTTTAATGGTTTTAAGTGGTGTGGATGGGTGCGATGGGCTCAAGCGACTGTTTGGGATTTGCCGGGCATATGGGACTGCAAGGGATTTTATGGGGATTGAAGGGTTAAGTTTGCATTAGTAAGGATAACTCAAAACTACTGGTTAGATCTTGATCAAAAACATATAGGATCACATGAGAAGCACCAGCTTTCAATTAAAAAAGAATGATCAAAATAAGTTCACCTAGAAAAACATTCTGAGGTAACATATAAAAATTACAGTCAAATTGAGAACCTCCTCCTATTTTTGAAGTCGGATGAAAATAGGGGAGGCTTATTACAAAAGGAATAACATTTTAAATTTTTTTTTATATTTGCAGTATTTAATTACAGTAGGTTTCTACTTTTCTACATTTTATGAGAAGAAATATGTTTTCACAGTAATAAAGTCAAAAAAGTCAAAAATACATTGCAGCTAAAGGTAAGTTTGTCCATACTTACTTTTCTTTATATAAATGTAGTACACCTTTAGTAACCTCTACCAAAGGGTTTCCACAGAAAAAACTAATTGTTTCACCATCCTCACACACACTTTTTTCTTGTTGAGGTCTACGGGAGCTTGTTGGTAGAATGCCTGTGTCAGTATTGGTACCAATAAGGACACTGGCATAAGTCTCTACAGTAATGGTCTTACTTTCACGAGCTCCACGGTCCTTCCTTTTTTGTTCTTTAGCTGCTTCTGTAAAGGACAAATACAATGTTAAAAAGCAAATAAGACAGAGTCATTGTGATACCAATATTAACCTCCAAATCCCCTAGCGGTCTCATGAGACCGCACCCACCTACAGCACTAAAACTTATACATAGAGACTACTTTTCTACGAAGAAGTTTGGCATTGGAATCAATATGAAATTTTCTATCCTGTAGTGCAATAAAAAAATAGTTATCCTATGGATATTTATATATAATCTACGTTTATTTCATACGCTATTTTCGCATGAATGTTATTGTGTTGATTTTTGGATTTTTCTAGTGTTTTAGTATAGTGTTTTATTATAAAATTGTAATGAAAGTTTTTGTGTGAATATAATTTATCTTTTTACGTAAATAATTTCGAGTAATATATATTGAAATAATTGTGATTTTCACGCTGCCAACGTTCACTTGGTATGTTTTTTTTTTTGTTATCAAAATGCAATAAAATCTTTTTGTAATGAATTAAACCTGACTTTTTTTATAATGCAGACCTCTTCATAGAATGGTAGTCTCTGAATATAAGTTTTAATGGTTTTAAGTGCTGTGGGTGGGTGCAGTCGTATGTGACCGCTCGGGATTTGCCAGGCGCATGCGACTGCATGGGATTTTTATTGCGATTGAAGGGAGGAGATCTCAATAAAATTATAACAATAAAAATCAGTTTTGTAAATGTATTATTATTTGTTTCACAGTATGTGACATTACCGAAAATAAAATTCAAAACTTACCAGCTTCCGAAGGATTATCACCCATTTCGGGTAGATCTTCGTCGATTTCTATGCGTAAAACACACAATGACACAGGCATTTATAACAGAATTTTACAATAGAATTAACAGATGGGCATCTCACCCTTGCAATTAGATAATTTTGTAACGTAGACTCTTATTCCAATATCAAATAAATTACAGGGATATGAAAAATGTTAAAATTACTAAAACAACGTGAAAAACATAAATTGATTAGCCTACAAAATACTATTACTGTGCTAGTATTTCTTATTTGTTTGTAACTATTACTTTTACGCTAAGTTCAACGTCAAGGTATTGTTTTTGTTTATGTGCAAAACAAAATATTTTATTGTACAAGTACAAGCAAAATAATTTCTTTTTGATAGAACATAAAGCCACATTAAGGTACTCTGTGGCCACAATTTGAGAAAGCTCTATTTATGTAACATCAAGTGTAAAAGAGAAAGAGTAGTAATCAGATGTTTAATTGACAGCTGACAATGACATTTGGGTATCGACCATAGACTGTTGTTGTTACTATTCGATATTTAAAGCGGGCAAAGGACCGACAATACGACCTTATCCGATTTGGATTTTGTTTATAAAACTCTTCGCTATGTGATGATGAGTCGCACTGAGAAATTCTTAAAAGTCTTTAAAGACAAACTAATCTAGTATATAATAGTATTACTTATTCATGATAAAAATGGCTTCAGACTTCTAAATGAATAAAATAAAATTATAACTTTCAACAAAATGTAAAAACCTGATGATGCTTTATCCAACGGCCGTGTCAATATTTCTCTGGAAAATGTCGCTGAGTCCCGGTACTCAGCGACATTTTGTCGCGCTACGCCCAGCCGACATTGTGTGTCACACTGAGTTACTGTATTAAATACGCTACGTTCAAACAACAATAATTCTTAAAGTAATAAACATACAGCTGTAAACTTTATGTTTTATTGTAGCTTAACTCAAAATCCGTCGATCTAGTAAAAAATAAGAAGGGTAAACGGGGTTGTTTTTGCAGTAATTTACAATAATTTGCCGATTAGCATAATTTTTTGATATTTATTTGAAGTAAAATTTTTTTCTTTAAAGTTACGAGTATGTGAACAATTTTTTTGGTAACGGAAACGATAGACAATATTGTTGTCCTTCGAATGAGCTTATTTTTATCTCAGTAAGACCAAAACTTTGAGAGATATGAATATTTTTGTAAACACGTAGAGAATATCTCAAGAAGAAAACAAAATGGCTGCCACATAGAGGGGGAGGGGATTAGACCTCAGTGTGTAGTGTATTTTTGTATTAAAATAGCTGTATTATAAGTACCTAGAATATCGCTAGTCCGTGACCGGACACACTGTATATATATAAGAACATTATTTCGGAATAAGTCGCATTTTGGACTAAAATAAAATAAAGCAGTGAAGAAAACCCAATGAACAATCTTTCATCCTTTTCAGGCTTACGACTATCTATAATTGATCTAAACGTTATTTTAACCTTAATGTAAATTATAAATCAATTAAAGCGTATTTAAAAATGTATTGATTCTACATACAAAAATCAACTATTTACATACACCATTATATAGATTTTTGTATCTATATTTTATTTACATTTAAAAACACACACGCAAACTTGTGTCTTAATTCGAGAATTTGTTCAATAAAATCTCAGTTTAATCCCCAGAAGACACAAGTTTGCGCGTTTACCGCTAAAAAGAACCCCTTCGTCGTAGCTCCTCAGTTTCAAGATGCACCCCTTGTTGTCTCAGCCAGTATCGGAATCCTCAGCGTCGACATATCGAGTGATGTGCAGTTTCGTGGTCACTTGGAAGAGAAGGCCAAATTGGCCTCTAAAAAGCTTGGCGTGCTCAGCAGAGCGGGACAGTATTTCCTGCTAGCTCACCACCTGCAACTTTACAAAGCGCAGGTTCGGCCGCACATGGAATACTGTTCCCATTTTTGGGCCGGGGCTCCCCAGTACCAGCACCTTCCATTTGATCACATCCAACGCAGAGCTGTTCGAATCATCGGCGACCGAGCTCTTTCCAATCAGCTTGACTCACTGGCACTGCGAAAAGATGTTGCATCTCTTTGCGTATTATATCGCATCTACCACGGGGAGTGCTCTGTGGAATTGTTCGGACTAATTCCAGCTGCACAGTTTCACCATCGCACATAGCGACAAAACTTGGGATCCCATTTAAACCTTCTGGATGACTCGCAGTCTATCACTTAGCAATTTAAAAGAAGTTTTCTTCCTCGCACAACTTCCTTGCGGAATCAACTACCACCGGAATCCTTCAAGAAAAGAGCCTATTCCTTTCTAATCTCTCAAACAGTAAGCGTCTAAATTTGAATTTGATTTGAGCTTCGATATTCCGTCCAAATTCAAGAGGTCAAATATGACCGCACCCACCCACAGCAGTTTAACCCCTCAATACTTGTGTTTAGAGACTACTTTTCTAAGAATAAGCTTGGCATTATAGAATCAATATGACATTTTCTATCCTCTAGTGCAATAAAAAGTCGAGTTATCCCATGGATATTTATTTATAGTCTACGTTCATTTCGTACGCCATTTTCGCGTGAATGTTGTTTTTTAATTGTGTTGATTTTAAGATTTTTCAAGTGTTCTACATATACATAAACATACATAAACACTCACGCCTGTCACCCAGAGGGGTAGGCAGAGACTACAGACTTCCACTGGAAGTCTGGAAGTGCTCTATTAACGTTTTAGTATAGTGTTTTATTATAAAATTGGAATTAAAGTATTTGTGTGAATATAATTTATCTTTATACTTAATATATTGAAATAATTGAACTTATATATATTGAAATAATTGTGATTTTCACGCTGACATTTGCCTGGTATGTTTTGTTTTTGTAATCAAAATACAATAGTCTTAAAACCTGACTTTTGTATAGAGAATTTTGTATATCCTCTCATGGTGCAAGAAAACGATTCCTTAAAATCTATTACCTCCGTAACCCGTAGACCAATAAAAATTATTTTTTGGCAACATTTTTAGCTCAATGCAGACAAGGTTTGCAAACAATAAAAATCTGAATATAATTTTTTTTCTTTTACTATCTTATCAATTCGCTAATTTACATCTTCGCAATTTCACACCATTTGATTAAATCTTTTGTTGAAGTAAAGATAGTTATGACTTTAGACTTTTACTCCGTTCCGTTTATGATGCTAGCAAAAGGTTTTACCTTTGCGTCTGCATCGGCCCTAGTACATTTTAATAATTACTCAAAATATTTATTATGGGTGTAAGAAAGGTAATGTACCCTGATATTTGCTACCTGTTTAAATAATACTAGTTGTAGTGTATGTGATTATAAAATGCTAACAAGTATGTAATAAAATAAGGTTCATAGATCAGAAAGAAGGTATTATCATTTATATTGCCTGTTAGAACACAAGTATAAATGTCCACTGTTTCGAGCCCGCACCAGTATCACGAGAGCTGCGGGCGAGAGTTAACGTATAGTGAAATGTAAGTTTACGTGTGCGTGCACGTTTTTATGGATTTTATCGCGTATATTTAACTTTTTAAATACCCGACGTTTCGAGCACAGCACCCATGGTCACGGGGGAGTGGCCATGGGTGCTGTATAGTGATAAAATCCGTAAAAACTAGTATTATTTAAATGTGTAGTGTTCGCGTAAAATATAAGAAATCATTATTTGCTACCTGTGTATTCGTCGTACCACCCAACTTTTGTTCTTGTCGGACAAAGAGATTCTGAGTTGGCTAAGTATGAGCGAAATAATGTAAAAATAATGGTATTGACTTTGAACAGTTTGAAATTAGAGGAGACTCAATATATTGCATAGTTTGTGAATAAAGTACACACCAGACATGGCTGTGTAGTTAAGATCTTTGCCTGTCTTCGTTGGCGCATCTCCTAACAACAACGTATATACGTATCTAATATCCATTATCTATGAGTAGTGATAAAAATATTCAATATGGCTACTAGCTACAGATCATACGACGTGAGCTGTCAGCTGAAATAATTCTTTGTGTTTATTACGTCTTAAAAATATTATGATTATTACGTTTAAGCGAATATGGGTGCAAAAGATTCAAAGCCTAGTTTTATATCTTACGAAGATGCAACGAAGAGAGGTACGTGAAAGTGATAATTGTGATAATGTTCTACGGAGAATTATGATTCTATTACATAGTTTTGTTTGCAGTGAGCGACAGTGAACTACGACGTATTCGTGAAGCATTTAAGAGATGTGCTGGTACGAATGGTACAGCCTTGAGTCTAGAAGCATTTGTCCATGAAGTGCTGTGTGATGGAGTTCCGTTCGAGGTAGCAGAATGGCTGTATCAGGCTTGTGGTGGCACGAAGCGAGGAATCGCATTTAAGGATCTTTTGTGTGGAATCGTCGTTCTGACTAAAGGAAATATTGAAGAGAAAATCAAGTAAGAACTTAAGTTTTCCAATACCATTCTTAGATTTTTCATAAATATATACTGACTTAGTTGTTGTTTTAAAGTAATAAATCAAGTTAAGTAAATAGTTATTGTTTAAAAATAACTAATAACTGTTCTTTCTTATTAGTGTGTTCACACTCCATTTTGATAATTGAAACTTCTAACTGTGCTTTTTTATAATATTCTAGCTGTGATTTATCACAGCTAAATCTGTAGTTCTTACATAAAAATGTGATATTGCAATATAAACAACAAATTAAATGGCATTAAAAGTATGTTTAAATTTGATTTGCAAGACAATGTTTTGACTAGGATTAAGAAAGGAATGTTTTGGTGGTTTGGTTGTGTAGAAAGAATGAATGAGACAAAGTAAATTTATGTTGTAGAAGTGAATGACAGAATTGTGAACTTCTTAAATAAATAAATAAATTTTTTCCATTAAATAAATAAACTTAAAACTAGGGGGGGACCCTCTAGGCGAAAGTTTATTGACCAAGTTAGCTATATATTGAAAATGGCCCAAATTAAGAGTACCCTTAATGGACAAGCATGTATGTGTAGGTATATAGATGTGGAGGAGGCGAAAGAGGCGTGTCAGGATTGTGCCAAATCGTAGTCCATAGTCTGTCTACCCCTTTGGGTGACAGGTGTGAGTGCTTATGTATGTGAATTTGATGCAAAATTTTTATTTTGTAGTTTCTGTGCTTTTCATCTAAGCACATTGAATATTCATATACCAGTGATCTGACCCGATATTGCATAGGTGATTTCTGATTCTCGACAACATATCATGCAAGGTGTGTTATTCATACATTGAGGAAAACTGCATTAGAATCCATTGCATAGTTTAAAAGATCTAAGTGTATAAATAGCTGAAAGTGATTGTTTTATACTATGTAGAGAAGTTGTTATTCAATATTTAGTCCAATGTGATATTGTTCTCACTAGATAATATGTACATTGGTTTTTTAACACCGGATGGATTTTGTATGAATAAAAATATCAATATTTTTAATTTTAGGGATGTAATAGTTAACATACTTTGTGAACATTTATTTCAACATAAGTTTCTTTTCTTAGATGATTATATCTATCTAGATTTCTGATTAATAATTTGGATTAAAAGAAAGCTTTAATAGTTTATTTCATTTATCCATCCTAAAAATCCACCTTTAGATATATACTACATTATTGCTCTAGTAATATAGAATATATTTAACTTATATTACCTTAGGCTGACTGTTTTAAGTGGATAAAAAGAATAATGTGATTTAATACGGTGTACAGAGAAGAAAAACATGTTTAAGCCCAATAGTTTTATATGAATTTTGGGTCTGGTTGATATTTGAGCTAGGGATCCCAAATTTAGATAGGTATGTTGACTATTTGGTCATACAGGATTTGTACATTGCAAATACTGTATTAAAAAACAAAACAAAACAGTAAATTAAAACAAAAAAAAGCTGTAATAAAATATCTACATTGTCACTGTATCATTATGTAACAGTTGTATGGTGACCATAAAGATACAATAAATTACTTATTTATTATTTTTGCCCTGTAGTGGCGGTTGAGGATATCCACTACCCCATGTCTTCCCGTGGGTGTCGTAAGAGGCGACAGAGGGAGACAGGCAGGAGATGGGCAGCAGAATCTTCCTAATAACAACAATAATACAATAAAAAAACTGTGGTTGCCAACCCGCTCGCCAAGCGTGGCAACTACGGCAAATATCCCCCCATGAGTAACGACGCAAACAAACGGCCCCCAGTCCCCGGCGGCCCGGCTATTCCTGGCTATGGTGGCGACCATGGTAACAGCGGGGCAGGGGGTGCTAAGAATCTCCGGTGGAGGTTTGGTTGCCACCTACGACGACTCGACCTGGAAACATATAACGCACGCATCCTGAGGACTGACGAGAAGATACTAGAGCTGGAAGAAGAGGTAGACAAGTTGCGCTGGCATATTATTGGATTATCCGAGGTCCGAAGAGAGGGGGAGGACACGGTACTCCTCGAGTCCGGCAACTTGTTCTATCACCGGGAGGGCGACCATCTGTCCCAAGGAGGTGTCGGATTTATCGTCCACAAGTCTCTTGTCAACAACGTTGTAAAGATTGGGAGTGTGTCTACGAGGGTCGCGTACCTGATGCTCAGAATAACCAAACGGTATTCGCTGAAGGTCATATAGGTTTACGCACCAACCTCGGTACATCCCGGTGAGGAGGTAGAGGAAATGTATGAGGATATTTCCAGATCCATGCATTCCTCCAAAACCCACTACACGGTGTTAATGGGAGACTTCAACGCAAAACTAGGCACAAGAGAAAGTGGTGAGCTGAAGGTAGGGAAATTTGGAGTAGGGCCACGGAACCCAAGGGGCCGACTTTATGGAGAAAGAGGGACTCTTTATGATGAACTCTTTCTTCCAGAAGCGGCCCCACAGGAAGTGGACCTGGTCGAGCCGCGACGGTTCGACAATAAATGAGATTGACTTCGTTATGACGACCAGACGCCAACTGTTCAGTGATGTCTCAGTGATCGCAAGGGTGAAAACTGGCAGAGATCACCGAATGGTTAGTGGCACACTGAACCTAAACATTAAGTTGGAGAGTTCTCGTCCGTCCCCCTCGTGCTCTAATCCAGAATCCCGAAACCTTTCAGCTCGAGTTACGTAACCGCTTTCAGTGCCTAGAAGATTGCAATGCAGTGGACGATATGAATGACAAGCTCGTGGAAACTGTCCATGCGGTTGGAGCTAAGTTCTGCAAGACCCGCCGCAGAAGAACACAAAAACTCTCCGATCACACTCTTAATCTCATGGCTGTTAGACGCGAGATGAGGCTGCAGTCGTCAACAGATTTGACAGCATACAGGCAATTGAACAGACAGATCTCCAAATGCATGCGGCGAGACTTACGCAACTTTAATACTGCTCGTATTAAAGAAGCGATCGAGCGGAACCAGGGCTCCAAAGTCTTTGCCAGAGATCTGTCTGCCAGAAAGAGCCAACTGTCAAAGCTGAAGACTGAGTGTGGCAGCATCGTTTCTGGGACACCTGAGATTTTGAGTGAGATTGAGAGGTTCTATGGGAAGCTGTACACATCATCGTTGGAGCCACACGCAAGTGTGAGTAACGATCCAAGAGCAAGTCTTATCCGACACTATTCCGATGATATCCCGGACGTCAGTCTGAGCGAGATTGGAAGAACTCTCCAGCACCTTAAAAACGGAAAGACCCCGGGCGAGGATGGAATTACAGCAGAGCTTCTGAAAGCGGGTGGAACACCGGTACTTGAAGTCCTTCAGAAGCTCTTAAATTCCGTCCTCCATGGTGGCACTACTCCGGAGGCGTGGAGCAGAAACGCGGTGGTCTTGTTCTTTAAGAAAGGCGACAACGATCTCTTGAAGAACTACAGACCGATTTCCCTTCTGAGCCGCGTCTACGTGCTGTTTTCGAGAGTCATTACGAATCGTCTCGCTCGCAGACTCGACGACTTCCAGCCTCCCGAACAAGGGGGTTTCCGAAAAGGCTTTAGTACCATAGACCACATACATACCCTGCGGCGGATTGTACAGAAGACCGAAGAGTACAATCTGCCACTTTGCCTGGCATATGTGGACTATGAGAAAGCCTTTGATTCCGTCGAAATTTGGGCGGTGCTACAGTCCCTTCAGCGGTGCAAAGTTGACTGTCGGTATATCGAAGTGCTGAAGTGTTTGTACAGTAGGGCTACGATGGTTATCCGAGTACAGAACCAGAGTTCGAAGCTTATCCATCTGCAGAGAGGTGTAAGACAGGGTGATGTTATATCCCCGAAACACTTTACCGCTGCGTTGGAAGACGTTTTCAAGCTACTGGACTGGAAAGGATACGGTATTAGCATCAATGGCGAGTACATCACTCACCTTCGATTTGCCGACGATATAGCCCTTATGGCAGAATCGCTGGAGGACCTGAGCACTATGCTCAATGACCTCAATGATGTCTCCCAACGGATAGGTCTTAAGATGAACATGGACAAAACAAAGATCATGTTTAATGTCCATGTCACACCTATGCCGGTAGTTATTGGGAGCACTATGCTCGAAGTTGTTGACGAATACGTTTACCTGGGACAAATAGTCCGACTAGGTAAGTTCAACTTCGAACGAGAGGTCAATCGACGGATTCAACTCGGCTGGGCAGCGTTCGGGAAATTACGTAACATCTTCTCGTCAGGTATACCTCAATCTCTGAAAACTAAAGTGTACAACCAGTGCGTGTTGCCAGTGATGATTTACAGATCTGAGACGTGGTCCTTCACTGCTGGCCGTATGAAGACGCTCAAGGTCGCTCAGCGAGCTATGGAGAGGGCTATGCTCGGAGTTTCTCTGCGTGATAGACTCAGAAATGAGGATATCCGCAGTAAAACCAGAGTGACCGACATAGCCCAACGGATTAGTAAGCTGAAGTGGCAATGGGCCGGCCATATAGCTCGAAGAACCGATAACCGATGGGGAAGAAAGGTTCTCGAGTGGCAGCCTCGTATCGGTAGGCGTAGTGTAGGGCGACTCCCCACTAGATGGAGTGACGACCTGGTAAGACATGCAGGAAGTCTATGGATGCAGGTGGCTCAGGACCGTGCTTTGTGGCATTACTTGGGGGAGGCCTATGTTCAGCAGTGGACTTGTGAAGGGCTGTAATGATGATGATGATGAAATTACTTATACTTCTCTCTCATGCTGATAATAAAACAATGTAAAAATGTAACATAAGATAAATTGATCCAGCATTGATTGATATATTCTCTTATAAACATGGAAAGAATGCTTAGCCCTTCAAGCCCTAAGCGATCAAATTCGAACGCGGCGCTATTCCGTCAAAATTCAAATGGTTGAATTCGACCGCGCACACCCACATCACTTTAAACCATTAAAACTTATATTTAGAGACTACTTTTCTATAAAGAAGTTTGGCATTATATAATTAATATGAAATTTTCTATACTCTAGAGCAATAACAATAGTTATGATATGGATATTTATTTATAATCTATGTTCATTTCGAACACCGTTTACGCATGAATGTTATTGTGTTGATTTTTGGATTTTTCTAGTGTTTTATAAGTGTTTTAATATAGTGTTTTATTGTAAAATTGTGGTTGTAAAAAAATTTCGAGTAATATATATTGAAATAATTGTGATTTTCACGCTGCCGACATTCGCTAGGTATAAATAGATTTCTTAAATTTACGCGAACACTACACATTGAATAAAAATTCGCTAGGTATGTTTTGTTTTTGTCGTCAAAATACAATACTCTTTTTGTAATGAAGTAAAACCTGACTTATATAGAGAATTTTGTATAGATCTTAAAATGCCAAACTTCTTCATACAAAAGTAGTCTCTAAATATAAGTCATAATGGTTTAAAGAGCTGTGGGTTGGTGCGGTCGCATACGGCCGCTCGGGATTTGTCGGGCGCATGCGATTGCACGGGAATTTTAAGGGGACTGAGGGGTTAATTTAGCATTTAATAAGTATTTTTTTTATATATCGTAGAGCCATGCTGCAGTTATATTAGTAGTATAGTTGTAACACAAATGGGTCGGCTCGATCGGGGAAGAGCCATGCTCTCACAGAAAACGAGCGTAAAAAAGTAGCTTAATACTGCTGGGTTTTGTATGGTGAGTGTATGGCGTTCAATCTTCGTCCTCACAGGTGACAATGCATCTGCATTTTGATTCATAATCGAGGGTAGATGTCTGTGGGCCACAGCAACAACTTACCATCAGGTGTATTGTGTGCTCATTTGTCACCAGAATTAGTTTGTTAAAAGAATGCTAAAAGATGTACTAGGTAGTACAGATTCTTCTCTGCCTAGGAGCTATTATATACATCACTGCTAGATAGATTAACGTAATTTAAAGTTGTACAGCAAGCGAGAAAGAATTTGGAAGATCTCTGTGTGACAGACAAAGACATCTGCAGTAGAATTAAAGTAACCAATAGAATGGATATTGTAGTTGTAATAGTTGGACAATGGACATATAGCTTCCCAACTGAAAATTGTTGTGTAAAGGAGTTTTTGCAACAACAAACTCCTCGTAAAAATTAACACCTATGGTGAACAAACATTTGTTCACCATAGGTGTTACTGATAGCTCCCTGTGGGGGGGCATGCATGGGAGAGGAAGAAACTAGAAACTAGAAAGAAAGGCGGCTCACGTGTTGCTGACATGTCCAGAAGTCGCTTCATACAGACGCTAAACATCTTGGCACGCCGGGATCGCTCCCCAAAGTTGCTTGCAACATCGAAGGACTGTTGAAATTCTTCGGGGGAAATATCGTGCCTCGAATAACTACATTATTCCTGCCCCACACAAGCGACACACAAAGTACTTAGACATGGAGTTGCGGAAAACAGCCCGTCATAAACTAAACAAAACTCCTCGTAACATACTTGAGTCAACAGTGCTGCCGTGCTTAGTCAATGGTCAGCACTTTTGTGCTGTAATGAAGTTGGTGACAATGAAACTATACACATAAATTAAAATACCATAAGTGTAACTGAATAGCAACTTTCCAATATGTTAATAAGAAAAATAAATACTGAATCCTCAATTATAGTTACCTTTCTGGGTACTGATATTATGCACGAATCTCAGAATAATGGCAATTACTAATTCCAGCACAGTGCTAATGGGCTAATGATGAGGTTATCACAAATTGTAATTATTGTTCTAGGTTCCTATGGACACTCTATGTAAACAATCAAAGTGAAAATGGCGCATACATATATAAGCGTGACTTTGCCCGCGCCTTGCAGCTGGAGAATACATCTCTGTCAGTCGCTGGAGAACAAAGAACAGCAGACATCTTGACTAGTTTATTTGGTCACAGTGAACGAGTCACCTTTGAGCAGTTCCGATCCTGGCTGCTCATACATAAAGATGCAACTGTTCTTTCAAAATGGCTATTGTCAGATCGGGGCAGTATATCCCATGACTTGGAGACCCCAACCTTCTACCAGAGCCTGGCTGGTGTCACTCATTTGGAAGAAAGGGTAAGTTGTAGTTGCCATTTTTTAAAAAGAATCACTAAATTGCTTAAGCTCTTTTTGAGCAATCAGTAGACATACAGTAAAAAATGTATTACTTGTCATCTTTTATCATATTCTATCTTTATGTTGTTATCTTTAAAGTAATTAAAGTCAAAATATCACGAGTTTGTTAGATTTGTTAATGTATGAGACTCACATGGAAGAGAAATATTTGTAATATTTTCAAACAGCCTATTTAAACTCCTTCCTCAATTATTGAAACTTAAATAAATAGAAGTTATTTTGTCGCAGTATGAGTATCAAATACATAGACCTATAAACAGTTTCAAAGTCAAAGTCCAAAGCCTACAAGCTACTTCTTCCAAGTCATCTAAACATTTCTTTTGTGAACACCTTTTTGGTTTTACTAGTGAACCCTATTATAATGGATTTCATCCATTTATCGTTTAATTGTCTCAGGATACTAATGTTTTGTATTTTAGATTAAAATTTTCTAGCTTTGTGTTAAATCATTGGCATATGTAGGGTTATTTTCCTGGCCTGGCCTCGACCTTGAAAAATGATGGCTGATGAAGCCTAAGCCCAATTTACTCATTAAAATTAATTTGAACTTGAAGGGTCGAAATTTTTCTTTACTTAAGGGGAAATATAACCTCAAATGGCTTAGCAAGATCCTCCGTTATGCCGATTGCAGTGTCCTGAAGCTTGTTTCCTGCCGCCCGGTTCCAAGCTTCAGGACGCCGATAGTTTAGGTAATTTCTTTTTACAGTGAAAATAATGGTAATTTAAAAATAAATAAAAAACATAAGCCCTGATTTATAGTTCAGTTAGTATGCAAAGTTTCATGATCTTATTTAAAGTATTTTATGAATAACAGCGGTTTGTTCAGTTTGGAGGTAACTTTGGATGATTTGGAATCATGTTTTTGTCTAACATGGTACTTAACATTAATTCTCAACTTTACCGTATATTTCAAAATTAATGCTGCAATATTTTCGGTATAACCGAGGATCTTGCTAAGCCATTTGAGGTTAAATTTCCCCTTAAAATAAATATAAATTAAGAAATACTTTTTTTATGAAACCTTGATTTAAGAAAAAGGACATTTCTGACATTGAAAAATAGAGTTTTCATTTAATTTAATTTCAAACCAATAAAACAGGTAATCCCACCCGCCTGCTAAGCATGACAATAATTTTTAATTTATTATGAAATGAAATGAAATGAAGATTTATTTGTTTGAAAAAGGTTACATTAAGGTGGTTATTACAAAGTAAAGTACAGCTTTTTCAGCCATCTATGGAGAGCATGCAAATACATTTTTCATAATTAAGTTTATTTAGTTTTTTATTAAAATAGCTAATTCAATTAAAATATTCATCATAAAATAGTCTTCGTTTACAAATTACCAATACATACAAATTTAAAAATAATTAAAATTGAAAATGCAATTAAAAATATATAACTACTGATCACATCATGTCAAATTTAGGTAGTCATTCACATTATAAAAAAAAACAATGATCATTTAGCCACCTGTAAAGGGCGCCTTTAAATCTATTAAGGGGCAAGTCTGATATTTTGGGTTTGTTTTGGGTATTTGGGTTTGGCTTAATTTCATTCGTTTGTTTTTAAGCGACTAGTTACTACACTAGTAAAGTAAGTTTCATAAAAAAAGTTTTTGGTAAAGTTTATTTACTTAAGTAAAGAAAACTTGTGGACATTTTTTAAAAATATGAAAATATATAATATTTCGTATATATATACGAAATAATTTATATAAAGTTACATATAGTGGGTTTCAAATCCAAAACATAATAGGACAGCAGACGCAAGGACCATCATTAAACGCGCCCATCCGTCATTATATCTTGAATAATACACATCGAAATAAAAGGAATTTCATAATGGCACACAAAATGATAACAATGTCACATACTTGTAACCAGGGTTGCCAAGTTATATTCGGCCGATTATAGTATTATAAAAATATAGTACACTTCCAAAAATATAGTATTTAATGGCAAAAGTTAATAACAGATATTGAATAATAAGATTATTGTGTAGTGGTATAGCAGAATAGTCCATCCATTGATTTTTGGACCCGACGCAGACCCGAAATACTGTACTATACTATAATAATATAATACGGTTAACTTAGCTAAGCTCTTACGCGACTGCTGATCATGAGTACACAAAAATAAAAGTAGTTTTGCGAAAATAAGTGATATTCATTCTGTAAATACTAGGAGCAGACACAAGCTGGTAGTACCAGTTACTCGACTCCACCGAGTCAGTACTTCATTCTTGGGGCGATGTATACGCTTTTACAACAAAATCCCAGAAAATATACAAAATTACATACACAACAATACACAAAGTTCAAAAATGTTATTAAACTAAGTTTGTATAAAAAGGGTTATTATAATATTAAGGAATTTATAGATGATAATAACCCCTGGGAAGAGTGATCGCTACCAAGCTATTTCTAATTTGTCTTGTGTTGTTGATTGTAAACATGATTGTAAGCTATTATTAAAAAAAAATAGTCCCGCTGGGTTTCTTGCTGGTTCTTCCCAGGACAGAGGTTTTTTTTGCGAACCAGTGGTAAATTAAATTAAAAAAGTGACTTTCAATAAGTATTTTTATAATCTACATTGAATAAAAAAAGTTTCTATTTCTATTTCTATTGAGGTCCTGGGTTCGAATCCAAAAAAAAAAACAGTTATTGAGTTTTTCTGTCAAGAAATTCTCAATAGCAGCCCGGAGTTAGAAAATTAGCGGTATTTCACGCCTGTGACTCGGAAACCACGTAAAGACGTTGTTGCTGCATCTGATCTCATTCGGGTCGTGTCGGTTTGCCGTCTCATCGAACTATGAGGAAATAGTGTGCCTGTGCTTGCTCATACACTTGGGCACTATGATTCTGTCACGTGCTGATGGTTAATCTCTGTTGAGATTCGCTGCCGTGACCAAAATTCTATTTGGAGAACATTTTTACTATCAGTAGTTGGCAACCCTACTTGTAAGACACATGTTAAGTACTATATGTAGTAGTTGATAATGTGATTACGTGCAATTACAGTGCTGATAATGGTCTGATATAATACGTCGGCACTGCGGCGATGCCAATAACCCGAAAAATTTATTTACGAGGTATACATTTATACATTTTGATTTCGGTGAAATTTCGGTTCGCGTAACCTTGGCAATGTTTGCACTTTACTATGCCAAGGGTGCATATCTCCATATATATATATATATATATATATATATATATATATATATATATATTGCGCAACTTTAGCCGTTCAAGGACTTTGTATGTGACGAATATCTAAAGAGTGAAAATGAGATTTATAAGAACTGAGAATGTATGTTTTAATCGCGTGGATTTTACTGAGAATATTCAGTCCGTAAATCTTTACGTGGTATAGCGACGCTGTATAGCTATATTGTGGGTGTACCACGAATGGGGAAGGGTCACGATCTCGTAATACTTGCGTGAAATATCAGCTCAATGGTGCTGTTTCGTATAGTGAGTATAGAGAACCGCAGGCACTTTTTACTGGAAATAAGGCATTCAATCTTAATCGTCGGGGGTGTGACAACTCATCTCAATTTTGATTCTTTATCGAGGAGATATTCGAATGTCATGTCTGTGATGATATAACGTCGTATATCAGGCATTTCCTATGTAATTACTTTTTCTGGTATTCCCTATGCAATTGCTTTTTCTGGCATTTCCTATGCAATTGCTATGAAGCTAAGCGCCCGTTTAGATTTAACTAAACTAATTTCACTTTTAAATCTCTACGTTTTACGGTTAAAGAAGTTTATCCTTGACCTTTTTTAATATAAAGGATGCATTTTATGCACTGGTCGCACGTAAAACTGTTCTATAGCAGTATCGCGTTTTTCCTTGAGGAATAGAATAAAATTAAAATATCACGTGTCAAGGGAATTTTAGTTTCAAAGCACATAAACATTGCAGGACTAGTCTATATGCATATTGTTCGTTTTAAGGCGCTACCTCCAGCGAACGACCTTGAGCGTTTGGTCTGTCGACGCTCGCTACAATATATCGCGTAAGAAATCGCCAAAAGACGCCACCTACTGCTACGAACGTAGTATTATTTTTTCAATGTCAATGAACTCTTCTATGGAAATAGACACATCGTACAATGATAAATGTATTTTAATTTTCTTTATTCGGTATATTAGTTGCATTATATTAGAATTATGTATTCTAATATATTATCTAATTAATAAAAATGACTATTTTGATTATTTTTAACTATATACTATACTGCTAATATTGAATTAGCTTTTTATAGTGTAAATTATAATATTTGTCGAAATATTAATTATGGATTCGAACTTTACATGCTAATGGTGCTTCGTTTTTGTTATTTTCATTTACTTACATATTGAAAATATACTTGAATAGTGGGTATTATTATTTTATTTAGCTACTGAATTTTAGGATATGTTTTACCTTGAGGTCAAATATAATTTTGAGGAGCAATAATTATTACCTACTAATCTTTTATCTGCTATTCCTTATTTAGGAACAATATTAGTAAATTCAGTTTGAGAGAGATTTACTGTTTATAATGCTACATTTATTATTTTAATATTTACCTACTCGGTAGGTAATTATTAAAATAATAAATATAGCATTAGTAACTAGATATTTTTTTTAAATTTTTAAAATTTAATTTTCGTATTTTTAAAAATTACTAAAAAAAAGGGTTTGAAATAATAGATTTTCTCACAAAAGAAGGGAACTTGAAAAAAAAAAGGAAAGAAAAGCGGGACCAAGGCCAAGACGCGAACCACGGAACTCCGATATCACGCCCGACCGACATACCACCTGAGCTATAACGACCGTTAGTGATTAGTCGAAATTTACCTTCTTATATTGTAGCAGTTTTTTTATTGCCTGAAAACATGGACAAAAGGACATTTTCTAAAAAGAAATCCAAGCGTTCGTCGCTAAA